GTCCCACACTGACAGGCTGGAGGAACTGAGTCTCTTTAGTCTGAAGAGAGTGTCCCACACAGACAGGCTGGAGGAACTGAGTCTCTTCAGCCTACACTTCCCTCTCCTTCAAAGCTATAGCAGCCACCTCTGCAGCCTGAGATACTTTTGAGATCCATCTAATCACAGCTCCAGGCTGCTGGTCCTCTCCTGCAGTCAATCTCTGTGCCCACACAGCTCCCTCAGTTACCTCAGCTGCCCATCTATCCATGACTAGCAGCTGGAGTGGGGCGTCTGTTCCCATGGGACTCCAGAGGTTTCCCCTTGATTGGCATTTAAGGGTTTTTTTCCCTCTAGTGTGCAGTTAGACTTACATACAGCCTCCATGTCTCATTTTCATCCATCCTTCAGACAGCGTCTGTCTCTTTAGTTGTTATATGTTTGAACACTTTTGTTAGTCCTCACAGGTGTTGGGGAGAGAGTGGTGGGCCGGGGGGTCATGTTTTGAAGGACAAGAGAAGCTACTGTAATTCCCACCTTGACCTCTTCTGGGGAGGCTCTCTCAGTGTGAGGCACCCCTGACCATACTGTCCTCTGCAGCTCCAGCTTACTGATTCTGCTCCTCTCTGTCCCCAGAGCTCTCAGCTCCCAGGCGTGAGGCAGCCTCTGGGGCTGAAGAGATAAACAACCCCGACTCTCTGAGAGCCACCTGAGGTCCCAGTGCAGTCCTTTCCTGTTCTTTACTAACCCTGCTGCTCCCAGTGAATTATTCTTGTGATGTTTCGTAGTGGCAGAGCACCAGTTCTTGTCCCAGTAGATGTTGACTCATCAAAATCCTGTGAATCTGTATTTACAGCACAGTCAGCTCTGTTCCTACTCACCTCCACATCCTCCCCAGGCTAAACAGATCCTTTGAAGTGTCAGACACACAACCAGGGCAATAAGAGCTACAATCAGCGCAGTCAGATAACCTGGGAACAGAAGAGTGGATCAGGAAGGGCAGATCTTTTATAGAACATGCAGGACTGTACACAAAAGAGTTAGTAACATACAGGTTCTGTCAGCCCTGTGGAAAGTGGTCTTACAGGTACTGATGCTGTCAGTATAAAATCATCCCAGTTTAAACACCACTCTGTACACTGTAAACAGTGGGTGAGGTTGGAAGAGTGCTCAGTGTGGACTTCAACTCTAACTGATATGGAACCTGGGCTGTGGGCAATGTAAGGTCACCATCAGCAGAGTGAGATACAGAAGGACCCCCTTCGTTATTGGAGCTGCTTCTCTTACCATGATATTGCAGCTGAGAAGCCTTATTGAGGATCTACAGTAGCTCCTTGTGGGAAGTGGTTAAAAGAGGTGCCCTAAAATAGGGCATATATATACAGTACATAAGCCCTATACCTGTCCCATCACTCCTGACTGGACAGAAGAGGGATCAGCTGTCTGTGATCAAAAGCACCAAAGAGCATTAAGATGTGGGACCTGGAACATCAGGACCCTCATGGACTTTCCACTTAACGACACCAGACTTAGTTTTCTGAAAATGACATAGTGACCTAGGAACCTATATCAACAAGCAAGGTAGAGGATAAAAGAAGAACTTTTGACATGAATATCATGTAGTTTAGAGTCAAGGCCATGGAAATGTAACATATTAAAGACATAAATTAATTTTTTATCACTGTGCTGCCACAAGGACTATTTCATGGCCCAAACACACAAGTATCATTGAGACCTAAGGAAGAGCTCACCTAGACAAGGAAAGAGGGGATCCTGATGAGAATTTTGATCATCTATTCAATCTGGACTCCACTGTCAACACTAATATATTAAATTCCAAGCTACAACACCAATGAAAGAGAAGCCTGGAACTCTTACAGCACATGAGGAGGAGGTGAAAGTTTTCACACAAATGTAGAACGACAGAGCGGAATTCCTACTGAAATGTTTAAGCACTGTGGACAGAAATTAACACAGCCCCTCCACACACATACACAACTGAACTGTAGAGGTCATCCCGAATCAATTCAATGATTTTATCAATCACCTTTCAGTGGGATCTCTGTGCATCCTTCACAGGCAAGATCACTGCAGGGATCCTCCTGAACCACCTCATTCTTCTTGTGAAACAGGTTCCACTGGAATCTCATTACAGATTCAGTACCTCATCAATCAAGTCCACCATAGTTTTCACACCCAATCAATTATAGGTATCGCAGCAAGGCTATGCATCTCATTAGAATTAAGTGTTCGGATACAGTAGATTATAATAATAAGAAAAACCTTTCACTTGGCTTGCACTGAAAATAAGATCCTGCTTAACACTATCAGTGTGATTGTGGCCCTTGACTGAACCAAATGGAGGAGGAATATCTGGGCAGAAGCTCAGAAACTTGAGATCCAAAGGAGTCCAGTGAGGCAGGATGAGGGTGTTGAAGAGAGCTCACCATGACTGCACTGAGCACCACAACCACGACAAGCTGACATCTCCTGAGACAGTGCCTTCTCACCCTGCCAGAGAGAGTGGGGATCCCACACTGGCCTTATCACTCCCCTGGGGTCATGAAAGACACTCACCCTCGACCCCAAGACACAGCCAGTGACTCTACTGCTTCGAGAGACACACCTGAGTTAACAGCTGCAGCTACTGACACAGCCCAGTGCTCCTGACCTCAGTGTAGCTCAGGAGATACAGGCATGAGCAACAGGCTTCAGATAAGCTACAGTGGGCCAGGATATCAGCTGGAGAACCGACACAGCTCCCTGGCTCTGCTCAGGACCACAGACTCCAGGCCAGAGACCTCTCCTGCACACAGTCCTGCCTTTAAAGATCTTACATCACTGTGACTGTGTCTGGATGTGCCAGCTGTAACAGATTCACATTCAGTGTGGTCATGTGTTGAAGGTCTGCTGTGGATGTGGTGTGTTACTGGAGTACAGTACTTACCCACTATGAGCCTTTCTATGGAAGCTCTGAAAAGGACGAGGACAACAATGCTGCTAGCTGAACAAGTGAAGGAAGCTGCAGCAGAAAGAGAACAAAGCAGGTACAGTATCTGTTAGTACCACACAGTCCCTCTCCCCTGCTATCTTCACCTATAGTGGGGTACCACCCTCCAGCTCTCCCTGGCTCAGTGCCTCTGACAGTACAGGTGTCTGCACACAGCAGAGACCAGAGTCCACACATCGCTGTCCAGGCCTGTGGGAGGGACAGCAGAGTCCCAACCCTGTAGTGTGACCTGGCCTGGTCAGCACTGGGCTGAGAGACCTCTACAGTCTCAAGCTGCTACTGTAAGTGGTGCTTGTGGACCAGTAGGTGGCGCTCTCTCCTCAGAACAATAATTTCCAAAGTTATCTTTTTTTGTGTGTCTCAGGTTCTGCTTAGCCCTGCAGTGTCTCCTCTGTCACACACAGAATCACACACAGAGGTAAGAAGACCATACCTGTTCTCCAGATGTGTTTCCTCCGCACTGAAAACAGAAGAAAAAGATACGTTGAAACTAAATTAGAAATTTTACATTTTAAATTATGATATTGCAAAGAAATACTAAGTACTGTTTAACAAAACATTAGAAATTAGAAATAATGTAAAAATGTATTTGTCCTATTTACTGTTTGGTGGAAGCACTGTACAGCATGTGGCTGTTCTTACTGATGGAGTCGGAGACAGATGACAGTAACCAAGTTCTGTTTCACCCCTGTTACTCTAACTCATCACATCACTTCCTGAAACACCCTCATCTTCCTGCACCCCTCCTCTACCTCAGCTCTGTTCTGCAGCTGCCCCTCGGATGACATCACTTCCTGCAGGAGGGCCCTGAGGTGCAGGTGCCTCTGGGAGCTGCCTGAGCCCCTGCACTTGTCTGAGCCACGTTTGTGCCTCTGAAAGGAGTGTTTGTGCTGCTCTCCTTCCTCAGAAAGTGCGCCCTCGATCTTCGGGGAGTGACGTCACTGAGCCTCTGAAGTTGTCCCCACAAACAGCAAAAACAATTTCCCAAAAATGTTGTTTAGATTTAAATCTTTTATAGCCAAATGCCTGGCTGTGATACAGAGGTTTTAGGAATGCAGTATATAGTGTCTGAATTTCCTGACTGGTCACTGCTCTCTGGTGTTTGTCCAGACTATACGACTGGTATATAAATGTAGCTGTGATATGTACCACCTCTTCATTGAACATGATTTTACCTCATTTCAGGACTCAGTGACCTAGAAGCCCTAAGAGATGAGGAATTGAACAGAACTGACGGTTGTGAGACGTGGTCCCGATGCTAGTATAGATTTTGGGCACATATTGTACATATATTCCCATAAACAGGTGGTTAAAACAAAAGTAAAACATTGGTTTAGTCTACATTTTGGCTCATGAAAGACTGTTGTCTTTCAGAACTATTGAGATATTACTGTTTACATTTGTGAGGTGACAGACCTTTTATTACATTTACAATGTAAATGACAATTTACAATGTTGCTTTGATGACTTATTTTAAAATACTGCTGACACAGCAGGGCACCAGGACAGACATACTGTATATTCCACTAGCCTGGAGATAGCAGGGCGCTATTTCCCAGGATGGAAAGCAGCACAAACTGGTTTTAGTGGTACAAACTGGCACAAATGTATCTGAAATAAATCTGGTGAGAGTCATTGTTTGTGCTGCTAGTAGGCAGGGGATCTTCAGCCAAGAGGGTTAAAATATCTTAGGTCTAACTCCTCAATAAATAAATACTCTTAAATTGTGAATCAGTATTTATACAAAGCATGTAAATATCTTCCTGAGCTTAGTTTTATGTTGAATTAAAGCAAGACTGTATCAGTAAGAGATCCAGCTGCTTTCTGTGGTTCTCTAGAAAACTCCTTGTTCTTATCGAGTGTCTGTCGGAGAGAGATTGGGAGAGTCTGTTCTCATCCCTCCCAGTGCAGTCTGGGATTCTTTCTCTACTGTATCTCCATCACATCGCTCCATGTGTTCCAGAACTGAAACCTAGCAAGGAGAGAGGCTAGATCTGAGCTCTTCACACCGAATCTCTCTCTCCTGGATCTGAGAAAGCAGCTGTTCTTACCTTCAATATAAACCCCGCAGAGAGAGGAGAGCAGTGATGAGGCACAGGCCAGTCCAATACCTGCTCTAACACCTGTGTCTGGTGTGTGGCTCTTGAAGTACTCCCACAGAGCAACTGGGAACACAGGGAAACCGGAACAGAAACAAAAACTGACACCTTTCTCCCACGCTAGCTGTCCCCTGTTCTCTTCGGTTTTCTCTCTATCTTTCCAGTGCCAACACTATAACATCCTATAACCTAGGAAAATGAGCAGAGACACCTGGTGGACTATTACATGTAATTAAAACATTTATACATCCCTATATCACTTTACTACAAGAGTAACAGGAAATTCTGTGTGAATCTACAGGAGGAAAACATGTAGAATCCACACACTTCTCCTAATAGATTCAGTGTCCCAGGAATAAATAGGGACACAATCATGACAACAAGCTTACAGGGTGTTAGCTACTGCACTGTTTATACACAATGATACAATGAGTTTGATTTTAATGTGAACGCTACTGTACAGGTAGAGGGCGCTCTGCTTCTCTCCTGTTCCTAGTTCCCTGTGATTATTCATGTGATTATTCATGTATTTCTGCTGTGTCTTGTTGTGTAGCCTCTTTAGTTCCTGTGTGTATCTACAGAAGAACACAATGAACAATTCACACACTTCTCCTAATAGATTCAGTGTCACAAGAATAAATAGGGACACAATCATGACAACAAGCTTACAGGGTGTGAGCTATTGTGCTGTATTGCACTGTTTACATACTATGAGTTTGATTTTAATGTGAACACTACAATATGGCACTGTAACTGTTTTGTGCCAGTTGTAATAAACTGGCTTTATAAGTGAACAGGAACACAGGACCAGTCCACTAACAGGGCCTGTCCAGCTGGTTACAGACTGAATACTCCTGGTCTGACTGTATACTGGCCCTGAGAATCACATCACACTCACACACTGGAGCAAAGACAAGCAGCTCACCAGCCACTATACAGGACCTCAAACATGTGTGTGTTTATTACTGTAAATACAAGAGTTAACAGCTATTACTTCTCCGAAAATGTAAATAAAACAATCAGTTTTAATTTTACTTACCAGACCACATCTCAGTTAACACAACAAAACGAATTATTGAGAAACCGATGAAAACTGATTTCTCCACTGGAAAAAACAGACACAAACATGTGAATTGGACACCACTCCTCTACAGTGTCACTGAAGATTAATTTTAACCAGCTTCTGTTAAAAACCACTACATTTCACTCACTGCTTTCATCACCCTCTGAACTCTGACTCTCCATGCTGAAGGAGAGGAACTTCACCTCATTCCAGACCCTCATGGTGTGATCGAACATGCTCAGACTGCAGCTGAGCTCATGGCCAGGAGTCACCAGACTCACTGATTCTGGGGTCTAGTTCTACTGCTGAGGCGCTTGGTTCAGTTCAGTCATGTAAGACAGCAGCAGGGATCAGAGAGGGAAAAGCAGACAGATTCCCCACCCTGAGGTCCTCCAGAGATCACAGCAGCACAACAGATACTGTCAGTATCATTCACAGATACACTCTCATAACCAGTACTTAGTCAGTCTATAGGAAAGATCATCATTCAGGATCTGAGTGAAGCTGAAATAATAAACTGCACTGTGTTTTCTGGAGATCCAGTTACATGGACAAGAAGATGAATAAAGACCTAGAAATATTCTTCTGCATTGTGTCTACAATTCTACAGTGAGTTAAAAAACTCAAACACTTTTTTTAACCAGAACTACCCAGGTGGACTTAGGTTTATGATCTAAAAACGGAGCTCCTTTAAGGATCTGATCTTTGAGTATGAGCTCCCCCTGCAGGTAGATACTGGTACAGAACAATCTCAGGACAAGAACAGGACAGGAGCCATTAACTGGCAAATCACAGAAGAGCAACAGTTACAGGTCTAACTCAAGGCAGGAAGTCCTCAGGTTCTCTGGTTATCTTTCTATGTCTGATTTTAATGGGAGCAAAAAACTCTTCAACTGAACAGTGAGCAAACTGAGGTTGAGCCCACAAACCTGGTGACTTCAGTGTTGATGGTGCTGAAATCAAACTCCTGATCACAGTTAGAATCCCTCATGTTACCTCTGACCCTGTGTTGTCATTTGACATTCAGGTTAGTAATGTCATAGCGACTTAACTCTTGCAGATGAGAAACACTGCTCAGCCACAGCCCCTACTGAGTGAAATAGGCCTGTCTGACACTGAAATATTAATAAAGACTGGAAACAAGTCTTTATTATGCAAAGGAACAAGTAAACGTTTATTCCATGCTGAAAAGAGAAGAAAGAAAACACAACGTTTTGGCCGTGGAGCTTTCTTCAGGTGAATAAACCAATGACTTGTTCCTTTTCAGCCTACGTATGCTGACGCAGCTACCCACCTGAACTACATGTTTTTATTATGTACATAAAAAAGCTCAGTTTACATGTTGTTTGAACTGTACTGGCTCCTACTGGCATTCAGAGAGGGACAGCTTACTGTGCCTTCCTTATTCTGGTCACAAATAATTATCTGTTTTCAAAAATACTTTGTACTGAATTTATATGTAAGTGTCTTAAAATAATTTGAAAATATTAAGTTAACAAATAAACAAATAAAAATCAAATAACCATTAAATGATTGATTTTATAGAGTACGTACAGTACATAGTACATAGCACTATATAAGTGTAAGCAATTAACTATTATTATTACCTATAATTGTACCAAATGTGTAGATTTTCAAGATGCACCTTAATAAACAGTTCTCCATAGTGAGCTCATCTCTTCAGAACTTACCATTGAAAAAAGCCAGAACTGGTACAATCCTCAGAAGATTAACAGTCACACACATGATCACTTCTTCCAAAGACCCTGAAAAACAAGTCACATCAGGAGCCAAAAGCAAAGCAGTAGTGATTGCACACAAGTAGCTCATAATATTCTGTGCCAGAGAAATTAGAAAAGTTCATCAAGTTAACCTAGCAATCCTGCCTGATGTACTTTAATTGTTTGCCTGTGACAGTAAACATGAACACAGTACAGGCTATAAATAATCACTGCCTGCCTGCACAGAGCAACAGATTCTCAGATCTCTGCAGCCCCTGACTTCAGAGGAGCTCACAGACAGGCCTGCAGATGCTGAATGGGAAGTTGATCTGTTTCCTGAGACATCCTGTTTTATTAATGTCTAAAAGATGTTAACCAGCACCAATGAGATTTCTAACAACCCTGAATCTGTCTGGAGATACCAGCAATCAGTACAGTAACCAACAAACAAACTGCTGTATGTACAAAATGTGGCAGCCAGAATCCTGACCAGGTCTAGTTCAAGTGATCGCATCACTCCTATCCTGGAGTCTTCACACTGGCTTCCTATCAGGTTTCATTTCGACACTCACCTACAGTATAGGGCTCTACATGGCACCTCAGTACCTGTCTGAGTTACTACTGTCCTTCTCCCCACCTCACAGCCTTCGCTCAGCTGATTCTGGTCTCCTGTCTGTCCCCCGAGCTTGTCCACACTCTGTGGGTGACAGGGTCTTCTCCTGCTGCACCCCAGAGCTCTGCAACTCTCTCCCCACGGATATCAGAGAGTCACCCACCCTGAGC